GACAGAGGGACAAGGTATGCGCAGCTGTGCCCTCCTCCCTGGGTGGTTTGGGCCAGCTGTCACTCTGCCTGGTTGGTGTCCAGCCTGTACAGGTGGTTAAATATTCTGAATATCACCATTGTCCCCACCCCCCAAATCTCAGCTATCTTAAATGATCTGAGAGGCTTAACTTCTTCCTATCTGCCCCATATAGAAGGAAAATGAGAAGAAAAATTAACCCCATGAAACGCTTTCCACGTGCCCAAGAGTCTTCATAGCAGCTCCAGCAGAGGTAGGAATGATGACACTCATTTCACAGATGAGGGTTTGGAGGCTCGGAGATATCCAGGGTCTACTGCAGAGTCATGGCAGAAGCAAAGCAGCACCCGGGGCCTCGACCCACAGCGTCATCCTCTGTTCCTCCTGCCAACCAAGGTCCAAGGCCTGGGCTGCCCCCATTCTGCTGAGCTCAGAACCGCTTGGGCTTTGCATTTGCACCTCCACCTCAATTTCCTGTCTCTCCTGGGTTCTTTCAGGGCCCATCCCCTGAGAGAATCAGGGGTTTATCTCAGGGGTTCTCTCCCCTGCTTATCTAGGCAGGGAAGCCATTCTGCCCGGCATACTTGCTTAGTTCTAGACAAATCCCCACCCCGCACTAGCCCAAAAGCAAATTCCTGGCTGACCAAGTGAATACCTGCGACTTACAGAGGCTTCTTCTAACTGGGATTGGCAGCCAGAGGATTTGGGGGCTGGGGTAAGGGTGGGGGCAGCTACAAAACAATAAAACCTTAGCCATGCAGAAAGGGCCAGAAAGCCCTAATCTTGAAAACTTTCCTCCTGAGGGACAAAGAGGAGGTGACGCCTGGCTGCACGCAGGGCCTGAGCCCCAGCCCTCCACTGGGCACCACCCGTGCTGGGTCCAGCCCTGCAGGGCCACTGCCAAAGGAGGGGGAGCTGCACTTGGAATGTGATTCCTCAGCTTTGCATGACACTCTTGTTAGCAGAGTGCAACTCCCAACATCCCCTGTCACCTCCTAAAGCCTCTGCCAGCCCGCCCCACAGCGCCACAAGGATCACCAGATTAAGGAGCTCAGAGCTACAGCTGAGGCGGCTAAACCCCAGGAGGTAGGAATGGGGAGGGGCAGGGAGGGCGGTGGGCAGCTCCCCCAAGGCCCTGCTGCCCTGCCTCTTCTCTCAACCCGTACTGTGGGCACTTCTCTCACTCTGTCCCAGCCATGAGGCACTCACTTCCATCCTCTTTTCTTCCTCGAGCTTTGGACCTTAACCACCAGTTATCCAGCTTGGGAGAAGAGCAGCTCAGGGAAGACAGTGAAAGCGGTAGAAAAAGAGGCCCCCCAGAAACAGAAATAGAAAGAGAGAGAGAAGTGGGGAGGGGAAAGGCAGCCCAGATGGAAGGAACAAGCGCTCTGCGGGTGGTGGGAACTGGCTGGCGCAGTGGCAGCGGGAGGAAGGTCCCTGCTGGAAGGAGGCCCAGGGCCTCCCCTGCCTTGCCTGAGTGGCTGGCTACCTGAGGTGAATTCCAGAGGCTCCTGTGGGTGGCTCTGGCCAGCTGCCTGGCCCCAGGACAAGGTGCATCCCACAACACCTGATGAGAGAGCGGGAGGGTGCCAGAGATGGGGAGGCTGGCAAAGAAAAAGCCAGAATTCCTGTCCACTGAATCCTGAGACCCCTGCCCTGAACAGCAGGGCGATGCTTCATCCCACTCCCCACCCGCCACCCAGGGTTATTCTGAAGGGCTGTGGAGAGGTGGCAACTCTGGAGTTCCCAAATGAACCCTGACCCTTCTCAGCCCTGTCCCCTGCCCCCCCAACGCTGACCCTTCTCAGCCCTGTCCCTTTCCCCTCAATCCCAGGGCCTGCAGGGGGCGACCAGGACACACCCAGGGCCCTGGCCAGCACCTGCACTCCCTCTAGCTTCTCCTTTGCCTCTGCCAAGCTCCCTTCTGCTGGGCCAGGGCCTGCTTCCCAGCACTGCAGGGTAGGGATGGGGAAGGGCTCATCTGTGAAGACCTGGGAAGGCAGGCTCTGCCTGTTCCTGGTCCTCCCCGCACTCTGAAAACAGGAGCCCACACTGAATATCAACAGGGATGAAATCCTTCCTGCAACACTCCCCTCCACCCCCAGCCAGAATCCATTAGTCCCATTCCTGTCATTGTACTAAATCAGCGAATGCTAAACCAATACAGTTTTGAAATGATCACCACTGTTACCACCATCAGAGGCTTTCTGAGCTAGAAGAGAACCAAGAGATTCCTGAAGTTCAGCTCCCTCCACCTCCTGCCAACAGAAAACTGAGATTCGGGCATCAGGGGCACTTGGTCTGCCTGAGGTCACATGGAAGCTGGTGACAAGGACATGCCTTACGTCCTGTCTACCAGCCCCCTTTCCTTTCAGGGCCATGCCTCTATGAGGGCCTAAAAGGGAGCTTCTCCATCATATCTCAAATAAGATCCTGGTCCAACCACAGGCGGCAGGGGTCTGGGGACAGGGAAGGCCGTAATGCGATCAGCAGACTGGCCATCTGGCTCGGGGACGGAGAAGAGTCCAGACTGGCTGCTTCTGCTGCCCGGTCCCGAGGGGCCCTGTGTCGCAAGAGACAGACGGCCAGATGGACAGGCACTGGCCTGGGTCTGGGAGGAAGCCAGTGAGTCCCCAGTAGTCAGAGCTGACCAACTTTCAGACATGGAGAGGTGGCGGGGAGAAGGCATAGGGAGCAAAGCCAGGCCCCCCAGAGGGCAGAGAAACAGAACTCCAGGATGGGAAAGCTGTGATCCCATAGCCAAGCTCAGAGCCTGGCTCCCCAGGTAGGCCCAGCCCCTCTCATCTCCAGGCCCCCAGCCTACTGGCCAGCCACAAACAGGGCCCCCTCCCAGGGGGAAAGGCAAACACATCTCCCCTGGCACCTTCTCAGACATGCATGCAAAACTAATTAACATGGGGAGACATGCGAGCAGCCGGCCAGCTCCACACCCTCGAGTCCACGCAAACAAGGCGAGCCCTTGTCCAGGGGACGTGCACAAAGCTTTGTTGCTAATTTAGGCATCTGTCTCTGTCTGGTCTGGTCCTCCTGCCTGTGCTGGGGTTTTTCCCAGCCCCTTGGACAATGCTGGGAACAGGCCCACCGATCCCTTATTCAAATCACACCCGGCACAATGAGCTCATTGTGCAGGCCACAGAAAAGGGGATGCTGGGGGGTGGGAGTGTGTAACGGGGCATCAGGGAGTAGGAGGGTGGGGGGGGTGTAAAGAAAATGGGAACCCAGGAAAGTGTTTACTAACACAGACCTTGCAGCTGCCTTGGGCCCCCTTGCCCTCCCCTGCCTGGCTTGGAGCTGGGGGGAAGTGCTGGAACTCAGAGGTGGGGGGGCCCAGAGTAGAAGAGGGCTGAAACTTTCATCTTGTTGACCTCTCCCACCTTCAAGAGTTTATAGCTACCTCTGCAAGTCCAAGGCCAGGCACATTTTTTAATATGATGGTTTAGGGGTTTGCTTTATTCTTACTTCAGGCTTAAATGTGCAGATCCCAATTGCAGAAGAGGAGACAGAGCTGAGGGGAGAGATGCTGGCGGCTGAGCAGGGTGGGACCTGTCGTCTCGGCCATTGTCTTCAGGCAACGTTTCATTTTCTCCTTCTTTCCAGCTAATAAATTAGAGAAGAGACGGTGAGCTGCGAAGGGAGAGGCTCCCCATGGATGGCAGCAGAGGGCTAGAAGGCAAGTCTGGGAGCTCACGGCAGATGGGGCTCACCCAGCCCAGCGGCTGCCCAACCACACCTGGTCAGACGCTCGCATGCAGCCCCACACAATGAGCAGCATGGAAAAAAATCTACACACACACACACACACACACNGAGCAGCATGGAAAAAAATCTACACACACACACACACACAACACTGTCCTGAGTTTCCTGAGCAGGAGAGCTGGGCTTCACACATACCCATACACACACACACACACACACACACACACACCCTTTCCTGAGGTCCCTGAGCAGGAGAGCTGTACTTCACACACATGCACACACACATACATACACACACACATACATACACACCCTCCTGAGGTCCCCAAGCAGGAGAGCTGGGCTTTGAAATGCCCTCTCTCTTTACCGCCACCTCCCCCAGCTCCTTGTCACATTGAGCACGCCTAGACAGGCCAACAGAAACAGACACACGGAGCCTGACACTGATGCGCAGACACAAAAAGAAACACGCACAGCCAGAGGCAGCCCAGACACACAGTGACAATGGCGTAATGAACGCAGGACGGCGAGTGCATTCCATCAGAAGCCCACACCCTGGCTGCCCTGCACAGCCCTGGGTGTCTGAAAGGTTACAGAGAAGCTGTCAGCTAGCTCTTCCAGCAACCTCCTCCCAAGGCGCCCAGGACTGCTGCTGGGGACAGGAGGTGAGGTAAAATACCGTTTCCGGCATCCAGATGGAAGCAAATTCCTCCTTAGACAAAAAAGTTTGGATCTGCTCTCAGCCCTTAGTCAGTACTGGTTGAGCTGTCTGGATTTTTTTTTTTGTTCTATAATAAAAGAAAGGGTGAAGTATCCTGCATTTTGAGACGATATACCTTGAAGCTGGGGCAAAGTGGGATCTTGCTAGGATAGTTTCCTACTGTGGTTCAATCCAAAGGTTAGAGTGATTTCTTTCTGGTGTTAAAAAAAATTCTGTGAAGCCTATCATAACACAAACGGTTAAAGTATCAGAAACTCTAAAATGTGCTCTGGGGATCCCTCTACTATCCCAGAGGAATGGAACTGTAGTAGGCTGAACCACATGAAATTACCAACATTTGACTATTTTTCATCAACAAGAAATTTCACATGGGTCAACCTAGTAGGTGCTTGTTCCAAGAACCACCAAGGATATTTCTCCTTTTTAAATTAAATGACATTTTTTTTTTTTAGAGACAGGGATCTCATTCTGTCACCCAGGCTGGAGTGCAATGGCCAGATCAGAGCTCACTGCAGCTGAACCCCTGGGCTCAAGTGATCCTCCAGCCTCAGCCTCCTGAATAGCTAGGACTGCAGCTGTGCCATCATACGCAATATTTTCCCTTTTCAAATGTCCTTCCTGAACTGGGTTATTTTCTCCCTAAAGCAGAAAAAAAAATAACAGCATTCCAAAACCTAAATTCATCTCAGACCATCCATCTACAGCCATATAAACACACTGCACAGAGAGGTCAGAACAGCAGCTGGAAAGAACTGCCAACACACATGTGCAGCCCAAGGACCATGTCAGGACGGGGCCCACCTTCAGACTCTTGCCACCATGTCAGGACGGGGACTCACCTTCAGACTCTTGCCACCACATCAGGATGGGGACTCACTTTCAGACTCATGCCACCGTGTCAGGAAGGGACTCACCTTCAGACTCTTGTCATCATGTCAGGACGGGGACTCAGCTTCAGACTCTTGCCACC